AGAGAACCCAAGGTGGGGAGCTACAGTTCCAAACAGAAGTTGAAATGATTAGCATGGGTGTCCACTGCAATCTGCTTCGTCTGCATGGTTTTTGCATGACACCAACAGAAAGGCTGCTTGTATATCCTTATATGGCTAATGGAAGTGTGGCATCATATTTAAGAGGTACTCATCCAAATTGTTTGCTGCGTTGATAAATCTTTTTGTTTTCACAACATTAAATTTTTTATGGATTTCATTGATAAAATGAATTTAAAAACCCGACCAATTTGGTTTGGAGTATCAACACTGATTTCTTTTAATATTTTTTTTTCCTTCAATTTAAGTTACCTTCTCGATGCTGATTTATTTATTTTTGTTTAATTTGAAAAGAATGACAAGATGACCCTTTTTTGGGTAGGACAGGTGGTATGATATGCGTTAGACCACACTACTTTGTTGCTTATAATTTGAAATTCTCCTCTCATAGTATGTGGATATATTGTTGTAGATCGTCCAGAATGACAACTTGCACTTGATTGGCCAATAAGACAACGCATTGCATTGGGATCTGCAAGAGGCCTTGCTTATCTACATGATCACTGTGATCCAAAAATTATTCACCGTGATGTGAAAGCGGCAAACATATTGTTGGACGAGGAATTCGAAGCATTTGTTGGAGACTTTGGGTTGGCTAGACTCATGAACTACGAGGATACACATATTATCACAGCTGTACGTGGCACAATTGGTCATATAGCACCAGAGTACTTTTCAAATGGAAGGTTTTCCGAGAAAACTGATGTTTTTGGATACGGAGTCATGCTTCTTGAACTCATCACTGGGCAGAGGGGTTTTGATCCTCAGCTTGCGAGTGATGATAATCTCATGTTAGTTGATTGGGTATGCACTTACGTCTTTTTGTTTGTGTATGTAGCTAACTTATTGTTATATGCAAGATTATTTCCCAACAACATTTGCATGAGGTCCACCTTCTGATTATATATTATCATTCTAAATCTTCCATAATATCTTTCATATTTTATATCAAAAAAGACATAATGTTGTTGAAATTCAACGATATTCTAGCTTCAATCTATTTTGTGTCCCTAAGTCCAAATCTTGGAAATTATCAAAGTTTCAATACTCAGATTGTTGTAGAAATGTTATATAATGTACTGTAAATTAGAAGCCTCTCTCGTTACCAATGTTGCTTTTTATTTTAGCTGAAAATAATGGATCTCCTTATTTAATGATTTTATTTCAAACCGCTAATCTCTTATGACGTTCTAAATCATTCTGTATGGAACATTTCTGCAATAAGTTTAGTTCTTTCTAAAGATACTTTAAAAAACTATTGCTCTTTATATAGCTGCCAAGTTCCTGTTTGATTAATGTATAAATCGCTTGTCTTTTTTGGCCGAAATGTTGAAAGCAGTTTGAATCATGGATCGAAGAAAAAAAACTAATTAGCTTTTAGAAAATAAGTATGGTTTAATTAGCTTTTATTAGTTAGAGTTATGATTAAGCTGTGAAGATTTATTTATCTTTATGTATAACAGTCTAACGTTTAATTTGTCAGAGATTAATTTTTACGTTTCCTTTGTTACTATTATTGTTGCTTCCTTTGCCAATATATTGGCCTTGCTGTGATTTCTTGAAGAATTTGGCATATGTTTCTTGAAGAATTTGAATTCATCATCTCTTTATTCTCACTATCTTGGCCTCTTGCTTCTTTCTATTCTCCCTATTTGCATCTTTGTCTTATCTTTGCATCATACCAATATTTGAATGACGGTACATTTTTGTAAGAAGTTTGATTTTCTGGAGAAAACGGAGAGAACAGTGGCCCTTCAAATTTTGAACATTACATTTTTCTCTCCTAGGTGCCCTCAGCTTTTGTTTCAAATTGTAGAACTAGCTGACATTTTCCTTATTATTTTGACTAAAAAAATTAGGTCAAACAGCTACTGAAAGATCGGAGGTTAGAAACACTTGTTGATTCTGATCTAAATGGAAACTATATTGACGATCAAGTAGAGCAGCTGATCCAAGTAGCTCTACTATGCACACAAGGCTCCCCAAGGGAACGGCCCAAGATGTCAGAGGTTGTCCAAATGCTAGAAGGCAATGGTTTGGCTGAAAGATGAGAGGAGTGGCAGAAAGAAGAGGTGTTCTTGTGAAACCCCGTCCCTGGATTTCATTATTTAAAATAAGGTATTTTGTATTCCTAGTTTTGACGCATTTATATGTGTGGGGTTTGTTTCTTTTTTTGTTTTTTTGAAAATGGGTAAAATACGAAAATGCCCCTCCTGTGCTAAACGGGATTTTACATAGACGTATTTGATTCTTTTGTATTTTTCTATTGTTCTTGGCATATTTAGATATTACATGTAACTATAAACGCGCAAACGGATTCGAGTTTGAAATTCGAATGAGAAGGTTACGAATTTTCTAAATAAAATGACATTTTGGTAAATTAAAGTGGAACTTTCTGGAAGCCTGGCTTCCTTTTTCTTCTTCCCTGTGTGCAAAACCGGCAGCTTTGCTGCTGTGTTCTTCTCCTCTTTAATTCTCCTTCACTCCAAAAACTTCATTGAATCATAACATTTTCGTACGGCAATGAAATCACCCACGGTCGAAGCCTATGTATTCGTAGCGCAGCCCTTTTCATTTTATACCAAACCCATATGCTGGAACCAAGCGTGCCCATATGTTGAAGCCCTGAAGCTTTGACGATTTACGTAGTTTTTTTCGCCGATTCTGGCTAACCTCGCTGGGGATAGGTCTCGACCCAAGAGAGAAAAATACTCCCCTCTTTATGCGCTTCCAGGATATGTAAGTGGATCTTCCGAATTTCAAGTTTCATTTTTGAACAAGTTTGAGATTTATGTGTTTAACTTGAATTTCCGGTGTTCTTGTTGAGGAGTTGTGGTGGTGACATTGATTTAGCTAAGTGGTAGATTGATGAACAACTTTGGAGGAGTTTGGAGGGCAGGACAAGAACAAGAAAAGGTACATACTTTAATTTTATTGAATTGTTTGTAGTCTTTGGTGAATTGTTTGTAGTCTTTGGCTAAAAGAGGAAGGATATGGGTAAGCTAACACATTGAAATAGAAGTTAAATATGATGCCTGGATAGTTTGGGATTGCCCTGAAATTGTAAATTGGATTAAACGAGTATGGGTTCTACAATGCACAAAACTTGTTCATTTTGCAGAGAGAAACTATGTTTCAAGTAGCCTACTTTGGCTCTTGATTTCTATGTCCTTGTGAGTTCCTTTTGATCTAATATTGTGTGTTTTGAAAATAGACATGTCCGTGATCAAAACCCTTCTGATTTCACTTAATTCTGTTGTATTTTGATTGATCAAAAATCATGTCCAAAGTTGAGTCACAGGGCTGCCAGACAGCAGCAAGTTTTGTATTTCCAGTTTTGGGACTCCATTTTATAGTTGGAATAACTTTCAATTTAGGGCTCCGTTCTCTACGACTATTATATGATTTTAAAGTACACAAAACAAGCCTCCAAAAACCATTTAAGATGGTACCATTTGGTTCAAATTTGAGTGTTCATTATGAGCTTAAACTTGGTTGATCAAAGCAGTTACATGCAACTTTTGTATAGAAGAAGAGTGTTATTTCTACATTATGCAATTCTTATCCGAGTCTTTCTTTAAATTACTTTGCTTTATACTAGTGTTGTTATTTGAAGTATAAGTTGTACTAAAATAATGCCTATGCTACACAAGTTAATAAATTGTAATTACTCACTTCCAGCTTAAATTGATTCCTTCCAGCTTAGTTCCGTCTGATTTCTGATTTTTGAATTTGTGCTCAGTTTTTTGTTTGTTGAGATTTTCGGCCTACGGTCTGATTGACGTTGGGTTTGCTGGAGTTTACAGGTCTATGTGTGCCGCAAGCAAAATCCTTTCATTCATATGATCTTCTTGGGTTTCTTTACCTTCACAGCAGCTTACCTACCTGGGTCAGTAATCTTAAATTGATTTCTTGATTTCTGTTGTTGAATGTTTATCTTAAATTGATTCCTTCCAGCTTATTTCCGTCTGCTGATCTTTTGGCTCCAGAATACCATATGGAGACATATCATCTTTCTCTTCTCTCTCTCCGTCTGTCTTTCTCTCTTTATGAGAGCTGTCTTTCTTTGTTTAGGTGCGCACCATCAGGGGTCGGGCCGTGATTAAATCTTATCTTTTTGCTATATTTCTTTTACTTTTGAGTATTATGAGGGTGGGATTTTAGACTTATCAACGACAAAAAAAATTGCTTTCATTTTATAGGAGTGAAAGATTTGATTTTTCACGCATTTATCTTTTAATTTTATTTGTTTATTTAGTTTTCCCAATATTTTGGGTGAAATTCTACCCCATGCATTTGGGTCTTAGTCTTTTCTAGGCCAGTTGCTAGAAAAAAAAAAGGCGTTTTAGAGAGAGAAAGAAGACAGCTTGAAAAATTTAGTATCTTGAAGTGATAAAGCAAAGAGATTTCCAAAGTTAATCAAATTGTTATCGTCAGCTTGCTCTCTTTGGATTAATTGATGTTATAATGCATTTTGAAGCTTAAATTATGGATTCCTTTTCTGTGGCAAACCTTGATTTATCAGTGTATAGAAAAAAAAATATCAATTCATTTCAGTTTAAATATTTCTGAAAAGTTAGAGATCGTTTTATTAGTTACGGAAAAGTTCAACATCTGCTGAGCACGTTGAGCGTTTGTAAATTAGCCAAATTATAGGGTCATGTGCAGGTGTTGTGTTTAAAACTTCTTTTTTTTCGTGAGTTTTTATTAAGCTTTGTGACTTTTTTTTTGTATCTGTTGATTTCTAAATTACTATAATTAAGAACAAGATTAGTGAATTTATAATTTGCTGCTTAGCTTTACACGATCCTTGAATAAACTGTGGAAAAAGAAACAAGTTTTGCTGAAATCAATTTAAAGGCACAATAACAAAGGTACTAAAAAAAAATCTATTGGATGATGTAATTTGGTTTGGCTTCTTTCACCTCCACAAGCTTGCTGCCATTGTCGAAGGTATATCTCTGTGTGTTATGGAATTTGGGAGTGTTTGGTTGTGGGAACCGGAATGAACTAATGAATGAATGAATGACGAAACATTCCCGAAGAGCTTGGGGGTTTGTCAGACTTGGTGAGCTTGGATCTTTACTTGGCAACCTTGCAAAACTGCGTTTCCTGTATGAACCCCCATCCTTTTGTTAGATAAAATCTATCGTCTTTCTTTTTTATTCGATATGCTAATCTGCTGTTTTTAATTGTTCCATTGGAAGTCCCGTGAGTTTCAAGATTCACAAGAAGGGAACATCCAATCATTGCAAGTCTTGTGAGTTTCATACACTTTCATCGCAGTAAGAGGGAGGAGAGAGTGAAAAGTTACTAATTTCTCTGCCATCAGAGAATGCAAATAACATATAGTTTTGCCGTGGAATGCAGGGATCTTTCAAATAACAATCTGACAGGGGATATTCCAGTTAATGGATCTTTTTCGCTTTTTACTCCCATCAGGTTTGTTGAAGCAACTTTACTCTTTTTCTTTACCTTTAGGGACAAAAATAACAATCTGACAGGGGATACACTTTCATCTCAGTAAGAGGGAGGAGAGGGTAATATAGCTTGATCAAGTTGGTGTTGTAGTTGTTGTATGGGATGCAGGTTTCACTCATCTACTGTCTTTGCAGCTGAGAAGGAACCAGAAGTTCATTTACGACAGCTCAAAAGGTTTTCTTTGCGCGAGCTACAAGTTGCCACGGATACCTTTAGCAACAAAAATATTCTTGGTAGAGGTGGATTTGGTAAGGTTTATAAAGGACGCTTAGCTGATGGAACTCTGGTTGCTGTAAAAAGACTTACAGAGGAGAGAACCCAAGACGGGGAACTACAGTTCCAAACAGAAGTTCAAATGATTAGCATGGGTGTCCACCATCGCAATCTGCTTCGTCTGCATGGTTTTTGCATGACACCAACAGAAAGGCTGCTTGTATATCCTTATATGGCTAATGGAAGTGTGGCATCTTGTTTAAGAGGTACTCATCTACATTGTTTGCTGCGTTGATGAATCTTTTTGTTTTCACGACGTTAAAATTTTTTTCGATCACATTGATATAATGAATTTAGAAACCCGACCAATTTGGCTTGGAGTATCAACACTGATTTTTTTTAATGTTTTTTTTTTCCTTCAATTTTAAGTTACCTTCTCGATGCTGATTTTATTTCTGTTTAATTTGGAAAGGATGACAAGAAGATCCTTTTTTGGGTAGGATGGGTGGTATGATATGTGTTAGACCACATTACCTGTTGCTTGTAATTTGAAATTCTCCTAAGTATGTGGATATATTATTGTAGATCGTCCAGAAGGACAACCTGCACTTGATTGGCCAATAAGACAACGCATTGCATTGGGATCTGCAAGAGGTCTTGCTTATTTACATGATCACTGTGATCCAAAAATTATTCACCGTGATGTGAAAGCTGCAAACATATTGTTGGATGAGGAATTCGAAGCTGTTGTTGGAGACTTTGGGTTGGCTAAACTCTTGGACAACAAGGATGCATATGTTACCACACATGTATGTGGCACAATTGGTCATATGGCACCGGAGCACTTTTCAACTGGAGTGTCTTCCGAGAAAACTGATGTTTTTGGATACGGAGTCCTGCTTCTTGAACTCATCACTGGGCAGAGGGCTTTCAATCCTCAGCTTGCGAGTGATGATGATTTCATGTCAGTTGATTGGGTATGCATTTACGTCTTTCTGTTTGTGTATGTAGCTAGTTATTGTTATATGCAAGATTATTTCCCAACAACATTTGCATTTCCTTAGTAATTAGCTTTTAGAAAATAAGTTTGGTTTAATTAGCGTTTATTAGTTAGAGTTATGATTAGCTGTGAAGATTTGTTTATCTTTATTTATAACAATCTAAGGTTTAAACTGTCAGAGATTGATTATTGCATTTCCTTAGTAATTGTTACTATTGCTGTTGCTTCTTTTGCCGATGTATTGGCATTATGTGATTTCTTGAAGAATTTGGCATATGTTTTGTGTCGATCCTAATTTCCTCATCAACTCCTTATTCTCGCTATCTTGGCCTCTCGCTTTTTCCTATTCTCTCTATTGCATCTTTGTCTTCTCTTTGCATGATATCAATATTTGAATGACGATACATTTTTGTAAGCAGTTTGATTTTCTGTAGAAAACTGCGGGCCTTCAAATTTTGAACATTACAACACATTTTTGTTCTTCTAGGTTCTTGCACCTTTTGTTTCAAATTGTAGAGCCACCCGACATTTTCTGTTTTATTTTTCCTAAAAAAATTAGGTCAAACGACTACTGAAAAATCGGAGGTTGGAAAGACTTGTTGATGCTGATCTAAATGGAAATTATATTGACGATCAAGTGGAGCAGCTGATCCAAGTAGCTCTACTGTGCACACAAGGCTCCCCAGGGGAACGGCCCAAGATGTCAGAGGTTGTCCGAATGCTTGAAGGCGAAGGCGAAGGTTTGCTTGAAAGATGGGAGGATTGGCAAAAAGAGGAGGTGATCCGCCAAGATTTCAACACTATTCATCATCCAAGTACTTGGATCATAGACTCACCTTCTCCTAATTTTGTGTTGTACTATTTTTGTGTGTTTGAAGAAATGGATAAAAACAATGACATGCGCAAATAATATTAGGTAACACTGCTACTGGGGCTATTGCTGGAGGGGTTGCTGTTGGTGCTGCTTTACCGTTTGCTCTGACATTAAGGTATTAAGGGATCAAGAGATCACTACGTGTCATTCCAACATGGGTATTCGAGCTCTGTCTATCTTGTTTAGAGTATCGTCAATAGGGATACCTCTGATATCTTTGAGGATTTATTTAAGACCAGCTGTAAGGTAAGACCCAAACCTAAATATTTGAGTTTAAACAAAATAGAAATGCAATCTAGTTGTGGGACTTTTTGGTTTTGTTGAACAAAAAATATTTTCTACACTAAAAGGGTGGGAGATTGAGTTAGGCCTTATAATGGGCTAGCAATAATATGGTTCAACTTCTTTTTTGATGAGAATCTAACCTAAGGACCTCTCGGTTATATGTGAAGAGGAATACGACTAAAATGTAGTAAAAGTTATATCTAATGGTTGGACTTAAACCTAAAAAGTTTGGCTTTTGACCCAAGCTAAACCCAAATTTGGGTTTGTATTTCCATATTTGGCTGACCCAAAATTTTGGGGTCCCTACCTTTTTTATTTACTCAAAAGCAACAGGCGAATGATTTATTGAAGTGGCTGATAGATGGGTCCCTCAACTGACAGGGTCCCAGCTGCAAAATGGTAACATTTTAAGGAACTACGAGCCGTTCGATTTTTGGGCCATTGGTGATCAACGGTCTTGGTTAAAATCCTTTTGTGCTTTGCAATCTTTAGATTTTGATGTAATTGTTCTGTTCATAATTTTTTTTTTTTAAATTTAACAATAAAATAAAGTCAACTGTTGAAATTTAAAATTCAACGTTAAAATAAAAAAATAATTTTTTTTAGAACATATTCACTTTACTATTGGATGGTGTGTGTATTGACGTTTGGTTGGTTGTTTGTATATTGAAGATTGGTTGGTGTGTGTATTAAAGTTTGATTGGTTGGTGTGATTTGTTTGGTTTTGAAATTTTTGTCGAAATTTAATTTTTTTTTAACGTCAAAACACTTGTCAAATTAAATTAAAATAATATAATTCGAAAGTTCAAAAAAAAAAAAAAATCTTTTTATTCCGAAATTTGGATCTTGATAGTTGGGTGATATTCACTGTTCATAGACTTAAATTCTGTGTGACAGCTTGTTCCGGATTTTCGAATCGTAGGGGTGAAATGACGATTTTGCCCCTATTATGGTTGTTTCGTTGTGTGGTTGTTTTTGGGTGTTACTTGGCTGGTTTTGGACCACACACACACCACACTCACTCACCCTCTCTCCCTGCCCTGTCCCGAGCCCTGTCTCTCTCCCATTGCTTTTCTTCTTGTACGGACAACAACCAAAACCATTGAAACCTTCACAGATCGAGGAAACAAATTACATATTCGTGCTCGTGAGGTCCTTGGGAGTTCAACCATACCCATTTCAGGTAAGGATACCTTCGTTTTCACGTCGAACTCGAGATACCCCGATTTGGTCACTGTTCATGCACACGTTAATTCTTGTGTTTTTGGGAATTTCAAGCTTGTAGGAAGCTTGGTGAGGTCCTTAGGAGGCTCGGGGTGGTTCGTTTGAAGGTTTTGGACGTCGCGATCGTGAGTTACAAGCTTGGCCGGAGTTGGTGGTGCTTTCCCGGTGAGATTCCGTGGGTTTTAGTGCTTAAAAGTGGTATAGATCTATTCCTCTTGTTGTAAGCTTCATTTTGGCACCAATTTTGTGAAATTTGGTTGAAAAACGAAGAAGATACATGGTTTTAAAGTTTTCCCGGTTTTCCGGCCCCGGAGTTTGCCCGGAGAAGACGACGGAATATTCTGTCAGTTTGGACGGAATATTCCTAATGGCGTTAACGGAATCCGTCAGATTTAATGGAATATTCCTGAGGGCGTTAACTGACGCCGTCAGTGTGCCAGGCACGTTCCTACGAGTGGGCGGCGCGTGTGGCCGTGCCTTGGCCGGCACGTGCGGTGGCAGAAAATTTTTCTAAAAATATGGGGATGTTCCTGAGGTTAAGTAGATCACGTTGGTGTATTCATACACCTCATTTGAGCATTGTATGAGAAGTTATTTTGTGATGTTGGTTATGTGCTTTAAAATTAACGTTTTTATAGTTGTTTCGCATATAGGTGAAACCTATCATGAGGACGAGCGCAGTCACTCGAGGCAAGGGGGTTACAACCCTTCTACATACCAGTGAGTGGGCTTTTGGTTTTCCGTATATACCTATATACTTATGCTTTTCCCAGAAAGTGAAATGAAACGTTTATACACTTATATGCCATGCTTCTTGTTTGCCATTTATTTACGCATTATTAGTCGCATATGTATATATGTTTGGTGCTGCGGACGCACAGGTAAGTGCCAGGTGAGTTATGATTTATGTTTATGTTCAGTAGTGATTTGAGATGCATAGAGAGCTCATAACTTGCACCCCCGGTGTTAGTGCTCCCGCCCAGAGTTGAGCACAATCTTTCAAGTGATGTTCACCTCCCGCACCACACGCTCGTCTTGGATCCAAGTTAGGTGCACAGTCCAGTCGTACAGACCACTTTAGGTGGTTTCGACTCGTAGGTGACCCGCGATTAGTCGCCCAGCCTTCACGTGATCGTAGCACTTGAGCGTACTTATTATACACCCAGTCCTGTCGTACAGACCACTTAGGTGGTTCCAACTCGTGTGCAGGTATAGTTAGTGAGTTGGAGATTTGAGCTCTAGATTCAGCCGTACAGGTCACGTTAGGTGACTCCGACTGACAGATTGCATGGCATTGATTTGACATTACCTGAGCACTTGCATTTTATTTCGAGGCATTTGGCATGGCATATTTCTGAGCATGACTTATATATATGTATATTCTATTTTTCTGGGAAGTATACAGGTTTTACGGCGATGGGTTAAAATCTCGTTTATGAAATGGTTTTTGAAAAGCTTTATTTTTGCCCACTCACACTTTTTGTTTTGCGCCCCTCTAGGTTCTAGTTGGCTAGTACTTGTGGTGGCTCCTCAGAGGATTTTCCCCGCATATCTGACAGATTATCACCAGTGTAGGGCCACCTTTGGGTGTGTTTATGTAGTGTTGTTTCTCCTGGACTGCATTAGGTCTTTGTGCTCTGAACTTTGTTTTCACACTTACGCTTGCACATGTATGTTCTTACTTTGTGTAAAGCTAGTTTTTTTATTTATTCGTACTTTTATTATTATTTTATTAGCTTCCGCACTGTGCACATGGTTACTTTACTTCCACGTGACGGCCAGCATGCCCTAATCTCGATCGGGGTGTGTCATTCCGTCTTTTAATAGACTAAATATTTGGGTTTGGGTCTAAGAGTTGGAGCTGGTCTAAGGACTTTAATGAAATCTTTTTATTCCTAAAAGAGTATTGCCTCATATGATAAAGTCCCTATAGTATAAATCCTAAGTTTGAAGTTTACATAATTTTATGTGATAATTTCATTAGAAGTTTAGTTAATTTAAATTGATTTTATTGTAAAATATTTTTTGTGAACATTATTACCCAAAAAAGTTCAAAATTCTCGAAGCCAAATCTTATTCTTTAGAACTACAATAGCTTCAGTATTGGCTATGTCATGGTCTATTATTTCTGATCAGAATCAAACTTGGACTCTTTGCAACCCTTGGTCAACTAAATGAGTTATTAATTAAAAGTATTGTTCTAAAAATTTCCGCCTAGCGCGCTTAAGCCCCGCCTAGGTGCTAGGCGGCTGGTCACCACCCCGATTAATGCCTAGGCATTTCAAAATTAAGAAAATAAGCCTAGACCTACTGAAGACCTGCTAAGACCCGCCCAGGTTGCTGCTAACTTAGATAAAAAATATATAACTTTCATTTTGCATTTATTTTTTTCAATAAATTGTAAGAGACTTGCTGAATACTTAAATGAACACATATTATATGTTTGTTTCCCATGTTTTTATTATGTTCCAATAGCATAATATATATGTCATTTTATTTTGTAGTTCATAATGAAATTATATATATTTTAAGTATAAATAGACATTTATTTACACGAAATATAATAGATATAATTAAATCTGCCTCGTCCGCCTAGGCACCTGCCTGGATCCCGCCTAGCCACCTAGGCACTAGGCCCAACCAGCTGCCTTACTAGCGTCTAGCGTCTAGCGTCTTTTAAAACCTTGATTAAAAGTAACTTAATAATAATTTCGTTTTCAATTTTTTATTTTTAGTTTTTACTTTTCTATTATGAAATTAACCAAAATAGTTCATGAAATTAGTATAATTCATCAATTTGGTTCCTGTGATTTGAAATTGCTAGAAGTGATCCCTGAGTTTGTTAATTATCAATTATTTTAGTCATTCCATTAAAAATATCCATTAAATAAGGATCAAATGATAAAAACAACCTCAATTCAATAAACAATTGGCCATAATAATTTGGCAAAAAATTGAAGATAATTTTGTATTTTTACAAAATAATCAAAATAATTGAAGATGAATAAAATCAGAAATCTCACAACAAAGCGAGGAATTCATAACAACTTCAGGAATCAGCTAAAAAGTCAAAGATAAAATATAAACAAAAGAAGAAATGAACCTGCCCACGCGATGGGCTGCGACTTTGACTGATTGAGAGTCCTCCATCCGCCTGCTCCTCCGTCGTCCTCCCAAACCTTTTACCTTTCTTTCTTTCCTCTCCAAAACTAGCGAGCTGAGATTTCAACCTCTCTCTCTAAGAAGCAGCGGCTTTCTTTTCCAAACGCAATCTGCAATTTAATCAAACAGCCACCGAATTTTCTGGAATCCGGTCAACGAAGAGATGCTTCGGATTTTGATCGGTCAACGCCAGCTGCTTACCTGAGCTCCAACAGACCCAAACAGCGATGATGTCCTCCGCCTCTGTTTCTGTATGGCTGATTCTGCTGTTTGGCTTCTTTCACCTCCATAAGCTCGCTGCCAACGTAGAAGGTATGTCTGTGTCTGTGTGTTTTTGAATTTGGGTGTGTTTGGTTGCGGGAATTGGAATGAGTTAATGAATGAATGAATGAATGATTGGATTTGACAGGTGACGCATTGAACGCGTTGAAGAGCAATCTAGCTGATCCAAACAATGTTCTGCAGAGTTGGGATCCGACTCTCGTCAATCCCTGTAGCTGGTTTCATGTCACTTGTAATAGCGAAAGCTGCGTTACTCATGTGTAAGCAAACCCAACAAACACCTCCTTTTCAATTCAGTTCAATTCAATTCGATTCAGTTCAGTTCAATTCAATTCACTTGTAACAGCGGAAATAGCGTTACACGAAGTTTTTAACATTTTTGCTCCACCCAGTGATCTTGGCAGTGCCAATCTCTCTGGTCAACTGGTGGCACAGCTTGGTGTGCTTTCCAAGTTGCAGTACTTGTAAGCGTGTTTTTCGCTCTGCTTTTTTGTTCGGGTCTTATCCAACTGTTCCATCACTGTGCATTTGCATTGAAATTGGTATCGATACACGACGAATGAATTTCACTACTGCATTTGACATTATTGAAACACTCTTTCTTGATAGGGAACTTTACAATAATAACATAACTGGAAACATTCCCGAAGAGCTTGGGGGTTTGTCAGACTTGGTGAGCTTGGATCTTTACTTGAACAATTTACATGGTACCATTCCAGCGACACTTGGCAACCTTGCAAAACTAAGTTTCCTGTATGAACCCCCATCCTTTTGTTAGATAAAATCTGTCGTCTTTATTTTTTATTTGATATGCTAATTATGCTGTTTTTAATTGTTCCGTTGGGGTGACTTTCTTCCTTGAAGTCCATGATAGCATTTCTGCTCAACCCAATATTGTGGTCAAGGCATATAGCTTGAGTTTTGACTTTTTCTCGGAATGGGTCCTAAACAGTAAATGGCCTTAACACCAGAATATTTACAGAAATATACTAGCAATAGAATCCGGATGATGCCGCAAGTTTTAAAACTTTGTTAAACATGTACAAATATATTAAAATCTAATTGTATCCATATCAAATACTAAAATCTGTCTACAATTACCAAAGTCTATTTGCATTCTTACGTGTAATAATGAACAAAAGATAGGTATTTGAATAATACATTACATAGAAAAAGTTGTGGATTAAGTTGTTCATACAAATACAATCAAATAAAAATATTTTCCATGTCCCAACTCTTCACACTACATTCAGTACTTCACTCTTCTTTCTTTGTTATTCTGTAGATAGAAAAATATTTTCCTCAAGTAATGTATTCAAGATGATACAAGAATATCATAAATGAACCTGGTTAGTGAACTATAAGAGTAATATAGCTTGATCAAGTTGGTGTTGTAGTTGTTGTATGGGATGCAGGTTTCACTAATCTACTGTCTTTGCAGCTCAGGAGGATCGAGAAATTCATTTACGACAGCTCAAAAGGTTTTCTTTGCGCGAGCTACAAGTTGCGACGGATACCTTTAGCAACAAAAATATTATTGGTAGAGGTGGATTTGGTAAGGTTTATAAGGGATGCTTAGCAGATGGAACTCTGGTTGCTGTAAAAAGACTTAAAGAGGAGAGAACCCAAGGTGGGGAGCTACAGTTCCAAACAGAAGTTGAAATGATTAGCATGGGTGTCCACCGCAATCTGCTTCGTCTGCATGGTTTTTGCATGACACCAACAGAAAGGCTGCTTGTATATCCTTATATGGCTAATGGAAGTGTGGCATCATGTTTAAGATGTACTCATCCAAATTGTTTGCTGCGTTGATAAATCTTTTTGTTTTCACAACATTAAATTTTTTATGGATTTCATTGATAAAATGAATTTAAAAACCCGACCAATTTGGTTTGGAGTATCAACACTGATTTCTTTTAATATTTTTTTTTAACTTGATTTTTGCTGGGTTTTAATTTCCAGAAGGCTGAACAAAAACAAGAAAACAAAAAACCAGAAGAAGCTGAACCGAAAAAGTTTTTCTTTCTTGTTCTCTCATGCAAAAGTATTGCAGAGGAATAATCTTTGTACAGCACACACAATGCGCACTCACACTGCTTTACATTTAATTGATGGCCTTAGCTTTAGGACCACACAAAACACTACTTTTAATCTTAGTCACTCATCAACCTAATTACATGGATCAAATACCACATGACACTCATGGCCTTACATCATTTAACCTTACACTTGGCAGATATGCTCAAGTGAATACACACATTAAAACTCATCTTATTTCTAATACTTAATCAGCTAGAGACTTATAATTCAACAAATTTAAGTTACCTTCTTGATGCTGATTTATTTATTTTTGTTTAATTTGAAAAGAATGACAAGATGACCCTTTTTAGGGTAGGACAGGTGGTATGATATGCGTTAGACCACACTACTTGTTGCTTGTAATTTGAAATTCTCCTCTCATAGTATGTGGATATATTGTTGTAGATCGTCCAGAAGGACAACTTGCACTTGATTGGCCAATAAGACAACGCATTGCATTGGGATCTGCAAGAGGCCTTGCTTATCTACATGATCACTGTGATCCAAAAATTATTCACCGTGATGTGAAAGCGGCAAACATATTGTTGGACGAGGAATTCGAAGCAGTTGTTGGAGACTTTGGGTTGGCTAGACTCATGAACTACAAGGATACACATATTACCACAGCTGTACGTGGCACAATTGGTCATATAGCACCAGAGTACTTTTCAAATGGAAGGTTTTCCGAGAAAACTGATGTTTTTGGATACGGAGTCATGCTTCTTGAACTCATCACTGGGCAGAGGGGTTTTGATCCTCAGCGTGCGAGTGATGATAATCTCATGTTAGTTGATTGGGTATGCACTTACGTCTTTCTGTTTGTGTATGTAGCTAACTTATTGTTATATGCAAGATTATTTCCCAACAACATTTGCATGAGGTCCACCTTCTGATTATATATTATCATTCTAAATCTTCCATAATATCTTTCATATTTTATATCAAAAAAGACATAATGTTGTTGAAATTCAACGATATTCTAGCTTCAATCTATTTTGTGTCCCTAAGTCCAAATCTTGGAAATTATCAAAGTTTCAATACTCAGATTGTTGTAGAAATGTTATATAATGTACTGTAAATTAGAAGCCTCTCTCGTTACCAATGTTGCTTTTTATTTTAGCTGAAAATAATGGATCTCCTTAATTAATGATTTTATTTCAAACCGCTAATCTCTTATGACGTTCTAAATCATTCTGTATGGAACATTTCTGCAATAAGTTTAGTTCTTTCTAAAGATACTTTAAAAAACCATTACTCTTTATGCAGCTGCCAAGTTCCTGTTTGACCGAAATGTTGAAAGCAGTTAGAATCATGGATCGAAGAAAAAAAACTAATTAGCTTTTAGAAAATAAGTATGGTTTAATTAGCTTTTATTAGTTAGAGTTATGATTAAGCTGTGAAGATTTATTTATCTTTATGTATAACAGTCTAACGTTTAATTTGTCAGAGATTAATTTTTACGTTTCCTTTGTTACTATTATTGTTGCTTCCTTTGCCAATATATTGGCCTTGCTGTGATTTCTTGAAGAATTTGGCGTATGTTTCTTGAAGAATTTGAATTCATCATCTCTTTATTCTCACTATCTTGGCCTCTTGCTTCTTTCTATTCTCCGTATTTGCATCTTTGTCTTATCTTTGCATCATACCAATATTTGAATGACGATACATTTTTGTAAGAAGTTTGATTTTCTGGAGAAACCGGAGAAAACAGTGGCCCTTCAAATTTTGAACATTACATTTTTCTCTCCTAGGTGCCCTCAGCTTTTGTTTCAAATTGTAGAACTAGCTGACATTTTCCTTATTATTTTGACTAAAAAAATTAGGTCAAACAGCTATTGAAAGATCGGAGGTTAGAAACACTTGTTGATTTTGATCTAAATAGAAACTATATTGACGATCAAGTAGAGCAGCTGATCCAAGTAGCTCTACTGTGCACACAAGGCTCCCCAAGGGAACGGCCCAAGATGTCAGAGGTTGTCCAAATGCTAGAAGGCAATAGTTTGGCTGAAAGATGGGAGGAGTGGCAGAAAGAAGAGGTGTTCTTGTGAAACCCCGTCCCTGGATTTCATTGTTTAAAATAAGGTATTTTCTATTCCTAGTTTTGACGCATTTATACGTGTGGGGTTTGTTTCTTTTTTTTTTTTTTTTTTTGAAAATGGGTAAAATACGAAAATGCCCCTCTTGTGCTAAACGGGATTTTACATAGACGTATTTGATTCTTTTGTATTTTTCTATTGTTCTTGGCATATTTAGATATTACATGTAACTATAAACGCGCAAACGGATTAGAGTTTGAAATTCGAATGAGAAGGTTACGAATTTTCTAAATAAAATGACATTTTGGTAAATTAAAGTGGAACTTTCTGGAAGCCTGGCTTCCTTTTTCTTCTTCCCTGTGTGCAAAACCGGCAGCTTTGCTGCTGTGTTCTTCTCCTCTGTAATTCTCCTTCACTCCAAAAACTTCATTGAATCATAACATTTTCGTACGGCAATGAAATCACCCACGGTCGAAGCCTATGTATTCGTAGCGCAGCCCTTTTCATTTTATACCAAACCCATATGCTGGAACCAAGCGTGCCCATATGTTGAAGCCCAGAAGCTTTGACGATTTACGTAGTTTTTTTCGCCGATTCTGGCTAACCTCGCTGGGGATAGGTCTCGACCCAAGAGAGAAAAATACTCCCCTCTTTATGCGCTTCCAGGATATGTAAGTGGATCTTCCGAATTTCAAGTTTCATTTTTGAACAAGTTTGAGATTTATGTGTTTAACTTGAATTTCCGGTGTTCTTGTTGAGGAGTTGTGGTGGTGACATTGATTTAGCTAAGTGGTAGATTGATGAACAACTTTGGAGGAGTTTGGAGGGCAGGACAAGAACAAGAAAAGGTACATACTTTAATTTTATTGAATTGTTTGTAGTCTTTGGCTAAAAGAGGAAGGATTATGCATGATATGGGTAAGCTAACACATTGAAATAGAAGTTAAATATGATGCCTGGATAGTTTGGGATTGCCATGAAATTGTAAATTGGATTAAACGAGTATGGGTTCTACAATGCACAAAACTTGTTCATTTTGCAGAGAGAAACTATGTTTCAAGTAGCCTACTTTGGCTCTTGATTTCTATGTCCTTGTGAGTTCCTTTTGATCTAATATTGTGTGTTTTGAAAATGGACATGTCCGTGATCAAAACCCTTCTGATTTCACTTAATTCTGTTGTATTTTGATTGATCACAAATCATGTCCAAAGTTGAGTCACAGGGCTGCCAGACAGCAGCAAGTTTTGTATTTCCAGTTTTGGGACTCCATTTTATAGTTGGAATAACTTTCAATTTAGGGCTCCGTTCTCTACGACTATTATATGATTTTAAAGTACACAAAACAAGCCTCCAAAAACCATTTAAGATGGTACCATTTGGTTCAAATTTGAGCGTTCATTATGAGCTTAAACTTGGTTGATCAAAGCAGTTACATGCAACTTTTGTATAGAAGAAGAGTGTTATTTCTACATTATGCAATTCTTATCCGAGTCTTTCTTTAAATTACTTTGCTTTATACTAGTGTTGTTATTTGAAGTATAAGTTGTACTAAAATAATGCCTATGCTACACAAGTTAATAAATTGTAATTACTCACTTCCAGCTTAAATTGATTCCTTCCAGCTTATTTCCGTCTGACTTCTGATTTTTGAATTTGTGCTCAGTTTTTTGTTTGTTGAGATTTTTGGCCTACGGTCTGATTGACGTTGGGTTTGCTGGAGTTTACAGGTCTATGTGTGCAGCAAGCAAAATCCTTTCATTCATATGAGCTTCTTGGGCCTCTTTACCTTCACAGCAGCTTACCTACCTGGGTCAGTAATCTTAAATTGATTTCTTGATTTCTGTTGTTGAATGTTTATCTTAAATTGATTCCTTCCAGCTTATTTCCGTCTGCTGATCTTTTGGCTCCAGAATACCATATGGAGACATATCATCTTTCTCTTCTCTCTCTCCGTCTGTCTTTCTCTCTTTATGAGCGCTGTCTTTCTTTCTTTAGGTGCGCACCATCAGGGGTCGGGCCGTAATTAAATCTTATCTTTTTGCTATATTTCTTTTACTTTTGAGTATTATGAGGGTGGGATTTTAGACTTATCAACGACAAAAAAAATTGCTTTCATTTTATAGGAGTGAAAGATTTGATTTTTCACGCATTTATCTTTTAATTTTATTTGTTTATTTAGTTTTCCCAATATTTTGGGTGAAATTCTACCCCATGCATTTGGGTCTTAGTCTTTTCTAGGCCAGTTGCTAGAAAAAAAAAGGCGTTTTAGAGAGAGAAAGAAGACAGCTTGAAAAATTTAGTATCTTGAAGTGATAAAGCAAAGAGATTTCCAAAGTTAATCAAATTGTTATCGTCAGCTTGCTCTCTTTGGATTAATTGATGTTATAATGCATTTTGAAGCTTAAATTATGGATTCCTTTTCTGTGGCAAACCTTGATTTATCAGTGTATAGAAAAAAAATATCAATTCATTTCAGTTTAAATATTTCTGAAAAGTTAGAGATCGTTTTATTAGTTTCTAATTATACACTACGGAAAAGTTCAACATCTGCTGAGCACGTTGAGCGTTTGTAAATTAGCCAAATTATAGGGTCATGTGCAGGTGTTGTGTTTAAAACTTCTTTTTTTTTCATGAGTTTTTATTAAGCTTTGTGACTTTTTTTTTTGTATCTGTTGATTTCTAAATTACTATAATTAAGAACAAGATTAGTGAATTTATAATTTGCTGCTTAGCTTAACACGATCCTTGAATAAACTGTGGAAAAAGAAACAAGTTTTGCTGAAATCAATTTAAAGGCACAATAACAAAGGTACTAAAAAAAAATCTATTGGATGATGTAATTTGGTTTGGATTTGTAAAGTATGCTTTTCAATGTGGATTAATTGTTTAAATAATTTTAGATTATGCTGATTGTCTGTTTTCTCTTCTACTTATTTTGTGTTTTCCAACTATTTTTCTGTAATTACCTTTTGTTTATATTATAGGACAGGTGTGTAATTCTTATTTTGATAATTTTTTCTCCTTTCTCTCTTTGATACTTTGCATGTGTATTCACTTGGGAAAAATACTTAAGTCTGAATGATATTAATGCTGCAGGATATATTTTCTTTTGGAGCCATAAAATCTAAAACAGTTTTCCAAGTATACAACGAGGTTGCTGGCCTTTCAGCGCTTGACTTTGGTTACACAGATAACACTGCAGTATACCATGCAAAAGGTTTTTTTCCTTCCCTTTTGCCCCTTTTTTGGGATATTAGTTACAAAATCTGTTTAGAGCATAGATGTGAAATTTACAGGACGGGTTAGTAAGTTAATTAGTTAATTTGATTCTCAATGGATATGAGTTATCGCGATTTGCAGAGATAGACTAAAGACTTGAGGAAAACAATGTTTGTTTTGAGTACTTATCACGCCATCGAGGCATAAATGTTGTTCCTGCATTAATTAATTTTCTTTATATTGAAATTGAATAAATTTAATTTTCCTTGATATCCAAATGTATTGAAGTAATTTTGATTGAAGTTTGTTTATATCTGCTTTTCAAGATTCATTTTTTGGTTACCAGATATCTCACTCCGTTTACGGTGTGCTTTTTTTAGTTAACTGAAGAAAAGGCTTTTTATTCTTTGGTTTTCAGGACTTCATTTACCGTTTACAAGTCAACCCCATAATACCAAAGTACAAGAGAAACAAAGATTAGAGGTCATTTTTGCTCTAACTTGGAATAGTTTCTAAGATTTGTATTGTGCAATTGGCCAGTGTTAACTACTAAATCGATTAAAAAACATTATGTAGGGGCTGCGCTGCCATTCAATTACCTATGGAATTTATGACATGCAATCAGTTTCTTTTTAGTTGAGTTCAAATAATGTTGATTGCGCTGTTATAAAGCTCTTTTTTCTTGTTAGGTTGAAAATCTTATTGATATATTCTTTATTTAGTTGGTCTAATTTGTAACAGATGAGATTGTTTTGTTTGATGTTTCAATCAAAATTTGATCTTTTTTTTTTGTGAAATTATAATGGAATTGCAAGTCAAGTATATTTTAGACTCTTGGTTGCATACTCACCTTCCCACAACTATTATATTATCTCCTGACTGGATGGATTTTTATAATTTCCTGGATCTACGGTTACAATGCTTTTTATAATTTCCTAGATCCATCCTTTTTGTTTGTTCATGATTATGTTGAATGTTTTTCAAGTTAAATGTGTCTTGTTCATGTAGTTAAGGCTGGTGTATTCAAGTCCTGCAGCATCGTGCGGGCATATTACTAGTAAATCCTAAATTTGAAGTTTACATAATTTTATGTGATTATCTCATTGGAAGCTAATTCTTTTAGTTAATTTAACTTTATTTTATTGTAAAATATTTTGTGTGAACATTACCAAAAAAGTTCAAAATTCTCGTAGCCAAATTTTATTCTTTAGAACTACAATAGCTTCATTATTGCTATCATAGTCTATTATTTCTGATCAGAATCAGACTTGGACTCTTTACAACCTTGGTCGGCTAAATGAGTTATTAATTAAAAGTAGCTTGATAACTATTTCGTTTTCAATTTTTAATGTTTAGTTTTTACTTTTTTATTCTGAAATTAATATAAATAGTTTATGAAATTAGGATAATTCATCAATTTGGTTTCTAAGATTTGAAATTATTAGAAGTGATCTCTGTGTTTGTTAACTATCAATCATTTTGATAATTATGTTAAAAATCTCCATTAAATAAGGAGCAAATGATAAAAATAACCTCAATTCAATAAACAACGGGCCATAATAATTTGACAAAAAATGAAGATAATTTTGTTTTTTTTGTACAAAATAATTAAAATAATTGATGATGAATAAAATAAAAAAAATCTTACACCAAAAACAAAGTGAAGAATTGCATAACAATTTCAGGAATCAGCTAAAAAGCAAAAAGTAAATATAAACAAAAGAAGAAACGAAACTTCCGACGCGGTGGGCTGCGACTTTGACCGATTGAGAGTCCTCCGTTCGCAGCTCCTCCGTCTTTCTCCCAAACCTTTTACCTTTCATTCTTCTCCAAAACAAGCAAGCTGAGATTTCAACCTCTCTCTCTCTCTAAGAAGCAGCGGCATGCTTTTCCAAATGCAATCTGCAATTTAATCAAACAGCCACCGAATTTTCTGGAATCCGGTCAACGCAGATTCTGCTGTTTGGCTTCTTTCACCTCCACAAGCTTGCTGCCAATGTCGAAGGTATATCTCTGTGTGTTATTGAATTTGGGAGTGTTTGGTTGTGGGAACCGGAATGAACTAATGAATGAATGAATGACGAAACATTCCCGAAGAGCTTGGGGGTTTATCAGTGTATAGAAAAAAAAAAAAAATCAATTCATCAGTGTATAGAGAGTGAAAAGTTACTAATTTATCTGCCATCAGAGAATGCAAATAACATATAGTTTTGCCGTGGAATGCAGGGATCTTTCAAATAACAATCTGACAGGGGATATTCCAGTTAATGGATCTTTTTCGCTTTTTACTCCCATCAGGTTTGTTGAAGCAACTTTACTCTTTTTCTTTACCTTTAGGGACAAAAATAACAATCTGACAGGGGATACACTTTCATCTCAGTAAGAGGGAGGAGAGGGTAATATAGCTTGATCAAGTTGGTGTTGTAGTTGTTGTATGGGATGCAGGTTTCACTCATCTACTGTCTTTGCAGCTGAGAAGGAACCAGAAGTTCATTTACGACAGCTCAAAAGGTTTTCTTTGCGCGAGCTACAAGTTGCCACGGATACCTTTAGCAACAAAAATATTCTTGGTAGAGGTGGATTTGGTAAGGTTTATAAAGGACGCTTAGCTGATGGAACTCTGGTTGCTGTAAAAAGACTTACAGAGGAGAGAACCCAAGACGGGGAACTACAGTTCCAAACAGAAGTTCAAATGATTAGCATGGGTGTCCACCATCGCAATCTGCTTCGTCTGCATGGTTTTTGCATGACACCAACAGAAAGGCTGCTTGTATATCCTTATATGGCTAATGGAAGTGTGGCATCTTGTTTAAGAGGTACTCATCTACATTGTTTTCTGCGTTGATGAATCTTTTTGTTTTCATGACGTTAAAATTTTTTTCGATCACATTGATATAATGAATTTAGAAACCTGACCAATTTGGCTTGGAGTATCAACACTGATTTTTTTTAATGTTTTTTTTTTCCTTCAATTTTAAGTTACCTTCTCGATGCTGATTTTATTTCTGTTTAATTTGGAAAGGATGACAAGAAGATCCTTTTTTGGGTAGGACGGGTGGTATGATATGTGTTAGACCACATTACCTGTTGCTTGTAATTTGAAATTCTCCTCTCATAAGTATGTGGATATATTATTGTAGATCGTCCACAAGGACAACCTGCACTTGATTGGCCAATAAGACAACGCATTGCATTGGGATCTGCAAGAGGCCTTGCTTATTTACATGATCACTGTGATCCAAAAATTATTCACCGTGATGTGAAAGCTGCAAACATATTGTTGGATGAGGAATTCGAAGCAGTTGTTGGAGACTTTGGGTTGGCTAAACTCTTGGACAACAAGGATACATATGTTACCACACATTCATGTGGCACATTTGGTCATATAGCACCGGAGCACTTTTCAACTGGAGTGTCTTCCGAGAAAACTGATGTTTATGGATACGGAGTCCTGCTTCTTGAACTCATCACTGGGCAGAGGGCAGTCAATCCTCAGGTTGCGAGTGATGATGATTTCATGTTAGTTGATTGGGTATGCATTTACGTCTTTCTGTTTGTGTATGTAGCTAGTTTATTGTTATATGCAAGATTATTTCCCAACAACATTTGCATTTCCTTAGTAATTAGCTTTTAGAAAATAAGTTTGGTTTAATTAGCTTTTATTAGTTAGAGTTATGATTAGCTGTGAAGATTTGTTTATCTTTATTTATAACAATCTGAGGTTTAAACTGTCAGAGATTAATTATTGCATTTCCTTAGTAATTGTTACTATTGTTGTTGCTTCTTTTGCCAATGTATTGGCATTATGTGATTTCTTTAAGAATTTGGCATATGTTTTGGTGTCGATCCTAATTTCCTCATCATCTCCTTATTCTCACTATCTTGGCCTCTCGCTTTTTCCTATTCTCTCTATTGCATCTTTGTCTTCTCTTTGCATGATATGAATATTTGAATGACAATACATTTTTGTAAGCAGTTTGATTTTCTTTAGAAAACTGCGGGCCTTCAAATTTTGAACATTACAACACATTTTTGTTCTCCTAGGTTCCTGCACCTTTTGTTTCAAATTGTAGAGCCACCCGACATTTTCTGTTTTATTTTTCCTAAAAAAATTAGGTCAAACGACTACTGAAAAATCGGAGGTTGGAAAGACTTGTTGATGCTGATCTAAATGGAAATTATATTGATGATCAAGTGGAGCAGCTGATCCAAGTAGCTCTACTGTGCACACAAGGCTCCCCAGGGGAACGGCCCAAGATGTCAAAGGTTGTCCGAATGCTTGAAGGCGAAGGCGAAGGTTTGCCTGAAAGATTGGAGGAGTGGCAAAAAGAGGAGGTGATCCGCCAAGATTTCAACACTATTCATCATCCAAGTACTTGGATCTTAGACTCACCTTCTCCTAATTTTGTGTTGTACTATTTCTGTGAGTTTGAAGAAATGGATAAAAACAATGACATGTGATAGAGAGTTCATCATATAACTTCTGACTTTAAGGATTTTTCATTTAGTTCTGGTTCATGTTGCGCAAATAATATTAGGTAACACTGCTATTGGGGCTATTGCTGGAGGGGTTGCTGTTGGTGCTGCTTTACCATTTGCTGCACCTGCAAAATGGAGAAAACCACAGGATCATTTCTTTGATGTACCTGGTTAGTGAACTATAGGAGTAATATAGCTTGATAAAGGTAGTGTTGTGGTATGGGATGCAGGTTTCACTAATCTACTGTCTTTGCAGCTGAGGAGGATCCAGAAATTCTTTTACGACAGCTCAAAAGGTTTTCTTTTCACGAACTGCAAGTTGCAACGGGTACCTTTAGTAACAACAATATTATTGGTAGAGGTGGATTTGGTAATGTTTATAAGGGACGCTTAGCTGATGGAACTCTGGTTGCTGTAAAAAGACTTAAAGAGGAGATAACCCGAGGCGGGGAGCTACAGTTTCAAACAGAGGTTGAAATGAGTAGCATGGCTTTCCACCGCAATCTGCTTCGTCTGCGTGGTTTTTGCAGGACACCGACAGAAAGGATGCTTGTATATCCTTATATGGCTAATGGAAGTGTGGCATCATGTTTAAGAGGTACTCTTCTAAATTGGTTGCTGCGTTGATGAATCTTTTTGTTTTCACGAAATAAAAAAATAGGTAAATTACATTTTACACTCTCAGGTTTGATTGTAATTGCAACTTCATATAATATTTTTAAAACATTTCAATCTCATACATTTACTTATCAATTTTAGCAATTTTATACATCCGTTAGCCAAACCGTCAGTTTGACTGTTAAGGGATGACATGGCAAATGTGACGTCAACATTTTTGTTGACATGGATGCCAACTATGATCCACGTGGAATAAAAACAAATAAAAAAGATTAATAAATAGAAAATTAGTTAATTTTTTTTATAATTAAAAACTAAAAAAATAGAAAAGATAACAAAAAATGGTGTTGTTCATCCCTTTCCTGCTCTCACCCCGTCCCCGCATTCTTCATTTCCCCCCGGCCACCATCGCCACCTTCCCTTTCCTCAGCCACTGCAATGAGGCCAATCCAGACTCGCTCACCCTCAAACTCGCACACCTCCTCCAGTTCTTCCCCACCGTCGGTGCCCAAACACTATCCGTGATTCTCCGTCGATGCCCAACCCTTTTTCTCTCCAGGAATCAGCCACCATTAGCCTTCTCCAACACCCCCTCTCCAACCCAGTGAGATTGTTGTTTCCAAAACGAAAATGCTATTAATTTTCAAAACTCACAGTTCAGACAGAGAACGAATTTCAAATTAGAACTACAAGACCGAAGGAACATTTGGAAAAAATCCTTACATTTTCGAATCCAAATCTCACTTTCATTCTTGACAGACTTTTACCAACCAAAACCTTAACCCCAAACTCATACAATGTCCATAACGGCGTCCATCGTGATTTCAGATCTCGGTAAACATCTCAATCAATCAAATAGTACGTAAGGTATGAAAGTGAATTTTTTTGAAAATGTTGTATGAGGTTGCAATAGACAGAGGTGGTAAAGTGTAATTTACCCTTAACAAATTGTTTGGATTACATTGATAAAATGAATTTATACACCCCACCAATTTGGTTTGGAGTATCAGTACTGATGTTTTTTTCCTGTTCTTTTTTTCTTCAATTTTAAGTTATGATGTTGATTTTATTTAATGGATACCAAGATGACTCTTTTTTGGGCGGGACGGGTGGCATGATGTGTGTTAAACCACATCACCTGTTGCTTGTAATTTAAAATTCTACTCTCATAATTATGTCGATAAATTATTGTAGATCGTCCAGAAGGACAACCTGCACTTGATTGGTCAATAAGACAACACATTGCATTAGGATCTGCAAAAGGCCTTGCTTATTTACATGATCACTGTAATCCAAAAATTATTCACCGTGATGTGAAAGCAGCAAACATACTGTTGGATGGGGAATTCAAAGCAGTTGTTGGAGACTTTGGGTTGGCTAAACTCATGCACCACAATGATACCACAGCCGTACGCGGCACAATTGGTCATATAGCGCCAGAGTACCTTTTAACTGGAAAATGTTCTGAGAAAACTGATGTTTTTGGATACGGAGTCATGCTTCTTGAACTCATCACTGGGCAGAGCGCTTTAGATCTTGCTCGGCTTGCGAATGATGATGATGTCATGTTACTTTATTGGGTATGCTTTTACGTCTTTCTGTTTTTGTTTGTATAGCTAATTTATTGTTACATGCAAGATTATTTTCCAACAACATTTGCATGAGGTCCACCTTCTGATTATATTTCATCATTCTAAATCTTCCATAATATCTTTCATATTTTATATCAAAAAAGACATAATGTTGTTGAAATTCAACGATATTCTTGCTTCAATCTATTGTGTCCCTTAAGTTTGGATATTGGAAATTATGTTTCAATAATCATTTTTAAATAAATGTTATATAATATACTGTAAATTAGGTGTATCTCTCGATACCAATGTTGCTATTAAGCCAAAAATAATGTGTCTCGACACCTAATCACTTTATTTCAAACCGCTTATCTCATATGACATTCTTAATCATTGTATATGGAACATTTCTGTAATCATTTTAGTTGGTTCTTTGCAAAGATACTTTAAAAACCTATTACTCATCATAGAGCTGCTAAGTTCCTGTTTGATTAATGTAAAAATCACTTAGTCTTTTTTGGCCCGAATATTGAAAACAGTTAGAATCATGGATCAAAGAAGAGAAATAATACCTAACTTTTAGAAAATAACTTTAGTTTAATTAGCTTTTATTAGTTAGAGTTACGATTAAGCTGTGAAGATTTATTTATCTTTATTTATAACAATCTAAGGTTTAAATTGTCAGAGATTAATTATTACATTTTCCTTGGTATTTGTTGTTAGTATTGTTGTTGCTTCTTTAGCCAATGTATTGGCCTTGCTGTGATTTCTTGAAGAATTTGGCAAGTGTTTTGTATCGATCCTAATTTCCTCATTATCTCTTTATTCTTGCTATCTTGGCCTCTTGCTTCTTTCTATTCTCTGTTTGCATCTTTGTCATATGTTTGTATCATATCGATATTTGAATGATGACGCTTTTTTGTATGCAGTTTGATTTTCTGGAGATACTACGGCCATTCAAATTTTGAACATTATAACACATTTTCACTCTCCTAGGTGCCCTCACCTTTTGTTTCAAACTGTAGAACTATCTGACTTTTTTCCTTTTTATGTTAACTAAAACAATTAGGTCAAAGAACTATTGAAAGATCGGAGGTTGGAAACACTTGTCGATGCTGATCTAAATGAAAATTATGTTGACGATCAAGTGGAGCAACTCATCCAAGTTGCTCTACTGTGCACACAAGGCACCCCAGGGGAACGACCCAAGATGTCAGAGGTTGTCCAGATGCTAGAAGGCAATGTTTTGGATGAAAGATGGGAGGGGTGGCAAAAAAAGGAGTTGGTCCGCCAAGATTTGGTCCGCCAAGATTTCAAACCTAATCATCATCCACGTACTAATTGGATCATAGACTCAACTTCTCATATTCCTGTGGAAGAGTTGTCCAGTCCCAGATGATATGCTCGTTGGTTCCGTCCCCTGTATAAATGTAAGAAGCCTTCAGAGGACTAGAGAAGGTCCATTTTGTATTTCAGTGATACAACATTTGTGCATATGTTTTGTCTTTGTTTTCGATTTTGTTTGTCTCATGTATTCTTTAGATCACAAAAAAATGGAAACTGTTGTAATTATTATAGGGTTAACTGACATTACGAAGTTATATGGTGCTAGCAGGAAATAGGAAGGGCCATAAAAGCCCCTAATCCTTATAATTTATGTATGTATCCAGAAATTAGTCCAGATTGTCAAGTAAATAACTTATAACTATCTATATTTCTAAATGTTCCTATAGATCCTATAGATACGATGAGTTTCAGGACACTAGGTCAAGTACGTGGGTGTTTTTGTCGGATAATGTTTGAAATTTCATCGTGATCATTGAAATTGTGTCTTTGCTGCGCTACCCTTATAAGTACTTGAACTAAGGTATCAGGGGACCTAGAGATCACTTTGTGTCATTCCAACATGGGAATTCAGGTTAAAACTATATTCCACAACAATTATTACATTTCAGGTCCTGAAATTTAGGTCTTGATTTTTGGGTGATATTTAGACTTAAATTTTGTCTTTAATGGACTAAATATTTGGGTTTGGATACAAGGATTGGAGTTGGTTTTGAGGACTTTAATAATTTGTATTCCTAAAGAAATATTGCCTTGTATGGTTGAGTCCAAATAGTATAAACCCTAAATTTGAAGTTTACATAATTTTATATGATAATTTCTTTGGAAGCTAATATTTTTAGTTAATTTAACTTGATTTTATTGTAAAAAAAAAAATTAAAAAAAAAAAATTTGCGGACATTTCTACCAAAAAAAATTTCAAATTCTTGGAGTCAAATTTTTTTCTTTAGATAGCTTCATTATTGGCTTATGTCATGGTTTATATCATAGCTCATGTCATGATCAATTATTTCTGGTCAAAATAAGACTTCGACTCTTTGCGAATCAATTATTTCTGCAACAGATTTTCAAGTATACAAGGAGGTTGTTGGCCTTTCAATGCTTGACTTTGGTTACACAGATAACACTGTAGTATACCATGCAAAAGTTCTTTTTCTTCCCACGTTATTGAGGCACAAATGTTGTTCCTGCAGTAATTAATTTTCTGTATATCGAAATTGAATCAATTTAATTTTCCTTGATATCCAAATGTATTAAAGTAATTTTCATTGGTAGCTAATTCTTTTAGTTAATTTAACTTTATTTTATTGTAAAATATTTTTTGTGAACGTTAACCAAAAAAGTTCAAAATTCTCGTGGTCAAAATTTATTCTTTAGAACTACAATAGCTTCATTATTGCTGACATGGCCTGGTATTTCTGATCAGAATCAGACTTGGACTCTTTACAACCTTGGTCAGCTAAATGAGTTATTAATTAAAAGTAGCTTGATAACTATTTTATTTTCACTTTTTAATTTTTAGTTTTTACTTTTCTATTATGAAATTAACCAAAATTGCTTATGAAGTTGGCATAATTCATTACTTTGATTTTTGAGATTTGAAATTGTTAGAAGTAATCCTTGTGTTTGTTAAGTATCATTCATTTTGATAATTTTGTTAAAAATCTCCATTAAATGAAGAGCAAATGATAAAAATAACCTTAATTCAATAAATAATGGATCATAATAATTTGACAAAAAATGAAGGTAATTTTGTTTTTTATTTTTTACAAAATGAACAAAAAAATTGATGGTAAATAAAATCAGAAATCTCACAACAAAAACAAAGTGAGGAATTTGCATAACAACTTCCGACGCCGTGGGCTGCGACTTTGACTGATTGAGAGTCCTCCATCCGCGGCTCCTCCGTCTTCCTCCGTCTTCCTCCGTCTTCCTCCCAAACCTTTTACCTTTCTTTCTTCTCCAAAACTAGCAAGCTGAGATTTCAACCTCTCTCTCTCTAAGAAGCAGCGGCATGCTTTTCGAAACGCAATCTGCAATTTAATCAAACAGCCACCGAATTTTCTGGAATCCGGTCAACGCAGAGATGCTTCGGATTTTGATCGGTCAACGCCAGCTGCTTACCTGAGCTCCAACAGACCCAACAGTGATAACGTCCTCCACCTCTGTTTCTGTTTGGCTGATTCTGCTGTTTGGCTTCTTTCACCTCCACAAGCTTCCTGCCAATGTCGAAGGTATATCTCTGTGTGTAATTGAATTTGGGAGTGTTTGGTTGTGGGAACTGGAATGAACTAATGAATGAATGAATGACGAAACATTCCCGAAGAGCTTGGGGTTTTGTCAGACTTGGTGAGCTTGGATCTTTACTTGGCAACCTTGCAAAACTGCGTTTCCCGTATGAATCCCCATCCTTTTGTTAGATAAAATCTTTCGTCTTTCTTTTTTATTCGATGTGCTAATCTGCTGTTTTTAATTGTTCCATCGGAAGTCCCGTGAGTTTCATACACTTTCATCTCAGTAAGAGGGAGGAGAGAGTGAAAAGTTACTAATTTTTCTGCCATCAGAGAATGCAAATAACATATAGTTTTTGATAAATCAGTATCCGTGTCCACCAAGGATCTTCGTTCCACTTCTCACCAGGAATCTGACTTAACCAAGGACACGGGAGCGGTAGCGTTATCTGCGAGGGTTTCCTAGTTCTTTTGTAAACCTGATTGTAATTATGACATTGTATCCTTCTACACGACTGCTTTGTAACCCTATATATATATATCAATGATAATTGACTCACTCATTCATTGAGTTGAGATTCAGAAATAATATCTTTCATGGTATCAAGAGCCAACGTCTCACGACAAATGTTCACAGTTTAAATTTTTTTTTTTTCGGTTCTTTACAGTCATGGCGTCCTCTTCCTCCTCTTTTGCTTCTGCTGCTCCCTCTGTTACAAACTTTCTCACCATCAAACTCGACCGCAACAACTATCCCCTCTGGCGTGCTCAGTTCCTTCCCTTGCTGCGCAACCGCAACCTCCTCTCCTTTGTTACCGGTGACAGTCAATGCCCGTTTGCTTTCCTTCTTGATGACAACGGCAAATTTACAGACAAAGTCACTCCATTCTATAGTGAATGGATACAAACTGATCAGATGATTCTCTCCTGGATTACTAGTTCTCTTACTCCCAAGGTTCTTGCTACTATTGTCAACAAAATTGATGCGGCCTTTGCTTGGTTGTCTCTTCAAGAACGCTATGCCTCTACCTCATAGAACCGTATTATTCAGATGTGGACTGAATTAATGAATACCTCCCGTGGTGATCTTTCTATTGCAGACTATCTCGACAAGGTTAATGTTCTTGCCGATAATCTTGCCCTCTCAGGAGCCCCAGTTTCTGAGTCAGATTTGGTTGCCATAATTATGAGCAAGGTTGGTCCTCAATATGAGACCACCGTTGCTTCCGCCCAAGCCCGTGATACTCCCATCACCTACACTGCTCTGGAAGCTTTACTCCTCAGTGCAGAACAATGTCACTAGGCTTTCTTTCTTCCCTTCGACATCGGCACTTCTGCGTTTGCTACTGTACGTGGTGGCCGTGGTGCATCTCGTGGCTGTGGTGGCTTGTTTCGGGGTGGCCGCGGTGGTGGCTACGCTCGTGGCAATGGCTTCTCTCGTCCCTACACTAGTGATTCTTCCTCACCAGCAGCCTCTTCCAGTGGCCCACCTTCTTCTACCAACGGCATCCTCGGCCCTACTCCTGCTTCTAGTGTTTCTTCTCATACACTGGCCTTCTCCTTACCTGGCCGTATTCAGTGTCAGATTTGTCAACGTTATGGTCACTCCGCTATTGATTATTTCAATCGTCTCAACATGTCATATGAAGGAAGGGTTCCTTCGTCTCGTCTTCAGGCTTATGCGGCTGCCCCTCTGTCCCGTGCGTCGCCCACTGCTTCTCCTGCCCCACCTGTGCAACAATGGTTCTTTGACTCTGGCGCCAATTCTCACATAACCAATGATGTGGGACAACTTCACAATCCTCGTGAGTATCATGGAGTTGATCGAATTCATGGTGTGCATGGTGGTCCAGGTTTGCAAATCTCCAAAATTGGTGATTCGTTTTTCGTACCAAAACCACTTCCTTCCGTTTACCTAACACTCTCTTTTGTCCTCACGCGTCCACTAACATTATTTCTTTAAATCATTTTATGAGTGATAATGATTGTTTCTTTCTTTTACATCCTCGTTTTTATCGTGTGCATGATTCACAGACGGGAAGATCCTTTTACAAGGCCCGAGTAACAATGGACTTTACCCCTCTCGTTCTTCTCCTCAACCTCATTGTGTTTTTGCTTTATTAGGTGAACGTGTAACGGATGTTTTGTGGCATTCTAGGTTAGGTCATCCTTCTTTTTCTATTTTACAACTGTTAGTTTTTGCAAATAAGTTGCCCCTTAAAGGCTCATTTTCTAGTAAGTTTTGTCAATTTTGTCCCTTAGGTAAAAGTCATAAACTACCATTTTCTTTATCTCCATCTATGTCTTCTCCTTTACAATTGATTCATTCTAATGTCTGGTCTTCACCTACTTTATCGGTCTCTGGCTTTAAGTATTATGTGATTTTTGTGGATGATATCTCTCGTTATACTTGGTTTTACCCTCTCCGTTTAAAATCTGATGTTTTCTCCACCTTTGTTACTTTTAAAAATTGGGTTGAAAATATGTTTGGTGTTACAATTAAGGCTTTTCAATCCAATGGTGGCGGTGAATTTGTTAATCATCGTTTTCGGAATTTTTTGAATGAACATGGCATTTTCCATCATCTTACATGCCCCCACAATCCTGAACAAAATGGCTTGGTTGAACAAAACCATCGCCATTTAGTTGAAACAGGTCTAACTCTCTTAGCTCAATCCGGTTTATCTGCCTCTTATTGGGCTGAATCTTTTCACACCGCTAATTACATCATTAATCGTTTACCTACTTGCCTTTTACAACATGTTTCTCCATTTGAAACATTGTTTCATAAACCTCCTCAATATTCCTTTTTCAAAGTTTTTGG